GCAAATTAAATAATTTAACAATGATGATTGGCACCATAGATACTCAATAAGAAATGTTCCATAGACAAAATGTGTTAACGAAATCTTTCCATGTCTTTAAGTAAAGCAAAATGTTGGCTGTTAGGTAAAATTTTGCGGTTCCTATAATAGCTTGAAAGCGGAAACGGCCCCGGCCATTAACGTCCGAGATCATTGAGCGCCCAATTACACTCTCTATTGATTCCCTGAAACGTTCCAATGATTTTGTTACACTTAAGGGTTATTTCCACTGTTTATTGAACGCAAGTTTTAAAATAAAGCTAAGAAATTTAATGACAAATAAACTACTATACGACCAACTTATCTGGTAGGGTTAGCAAACGTAAATTTAATTTAAATGGCACATAGTTCTGTCAATGACCAAAAAGTACCAAGTTCCGTATCGTACTATAGGCTCTTATTTTTTTACAGTTCTAACCACGATATCGCCTATCACAACGGGTCAGATAACTTTGACGGACTATAATCTCTTTTATCGTATAAAATACAGATAACAAAAGAGTTCTTTACCATAACTGGCTACTAGTCGTAAAAAGCGCGACAACCGCAAACCGACGGAAACCGTGCGACACGCTCCAAAACGTTCAGTTACACAAATAAAATAATTACGCCCCGTCTATCCGCGCTTTATATCTTTATTGCAGTTTGAATAATAAAAGGACTTGATGAAATTATTTATAAATCATAAATAAAACATATATACTGTTCATTTTCTTGAAAATAGTTATAAAAAAGTTATTTTACCTTTTACCGACAGCGAAAATAATCATCCTGTTCGTTAAAACTTTAACTAGCACTGTTGTTGATAAATCTTAGTTATAAATTCATTTACAATTATAACACTAACACAATAAATTCGTTGTTATTTTTTTTATAATTATCAAACTTTTTGCACAACATTTCACAGTTGTTGTTGTTTTTATTATTCACTCGAAAGAGCAGGCAAAGGAACTAAGCCATACAGCCTTGTCTTTTTTATTTCAACATTTCACAGACTTACATTTCAATTTATTTTCTTTTTTTTTTATTACGCCGCGTACGTGTGGCCAGTATTTTGATTATTGTTATAATATAACCTCTTTTATGACACCAAAGAGGTTGATTAGTTTTAGTATTTGTTTAGAAATTGGATATTCTATATATTGTTTTGATTGAAATATATAGTACATTTTTACTTATTGACAATTCTTTGTTACTTTAAAATGTTTTATCTTTAAAATAATCATTTTAAAGTAATAATTTTCGAAGAGTGTCGTTCAAAATTTTTTTCGAGTCAAATAACCTTACTTTTATCTCTTACATCTTATCGTGATTAGGCACCAGAGTTAGATTTCTTGATAAAGGTGATATTATATCTTCTGAATATTTTAAATGCAAATTATATCACCTAATTTGAACATTTGGAAAAGAATATTCGGTTTATAACATTATTTGTGTTGGAAATCGTATTTCGTGTGAAGCGTGTATTAAATTACAAATGAAATAAAAATCGACCAAGTATCATAATATTAAATTTTTAAGAAAAAAAAACACAAGCTCAAAAGAACAATAAAACAACCTAATAATTTATTTAAAAAAAAATACCAAATCCGCAAGAATCAGAATAATTCTGAAGATGGTATACGTTATATTTGATTAAAGGTATTAAATGAAAATAAAAGTGTTAACAAAAAGAACGCCGACAATAATCAGTGGCTGGAAAAAAAAATGGGGCTGTCAAATTATTGGCGCGAAAATGAGTGAGGTTATTTTTTCGTCATCTCTTAAGTATTTCCGACACACGCACGGAAGGGACAGTGTATTGTCTCAATTATAGGCCGCACGTCCGCGCTTCCTCTGCCCCGGTGGTCGCAAAAAAAAATCAACACAAACACAGATAATATATGAAACTAGTTTTTTTTATCGCAGTCAATATTGCGTAGGTGAATTTTAAATAAATATTTCCCGTTCGAAGTTCAAATTTAAATATAATTTAAACATATTACCAAAAACACTAAAACGCCCTTTAATGCACTGATAATTTGGAAGTAACCTAAGCGATCACAAAGTCGTAAAATTTTGAATCGATTATTCGTATTTATCGAGCAATTTTGTTTACGATTTGTCAGTTCTCTTTCCTAATTTACATAACACTGACAACAGTGAAACTGGTCGTTTACTGTTTTACAATTTTATTTTAAACTAACGAATGCCCGCTAGTTCATCAGCGCAAATTAAAAAAAATAAAATAAAAATAGACTACGTTACTCATGTGAACATCGGCTACCTAAAATAAAAGTTCTATCAAAATCGGTCTAGCCGTTTCGGAGATTACACGGAACAAACTTTTTTATTTTTTTTCTATATTACATACACTTTAAATGTATTATTTGTATGGATAAATAGATGGATAGATATTCTTTTCGTCGAGAGTTGTCATACTTTAGATATATTTAATTTCCTCGTCAAAACATATTCTCCACTTAATATTTTACCTATACTATCATTCTCTAGAACATAACATAAAAACCTTTCTATACAATTTAAGATCTATCAGTAACCAGTGTAATTCATTTAAAAAACATATACAGGTAACACTTGTCTTCCATAGATTTATTTCCGTCTTTAGAACAGCTAATTAACTGAAGAAGCGCTTATCATTTTTTTAACATCGGCCGAAACAAATATTTGCCCTCAAAGCTTTCCGCGGCGGTCCGGCGCTACAAATTATCGACCACTAGCCGCCAACAATCACGACTCGATAAAAAACAACAATAAAAAACCTGGCTGTGTGTCATCGAAACGCCGATTAAAAAAAATACAAAGGAGGTTAAATAACATCTTATTAATGGGTGAGAATTTAAAAACAACAAAAAGGTCTGCTGAACATTACCAAAATATTTCTAAAATTATTTCTTTTTACATTTTTACGTGTAAATAACAATAAGAATTTTAAAATGAATTAATAAATCTTTTTTAACAGTCATTCCATTTTTAATCTGTACAATCACGATACGACTTTCTACGGTCCTTTATCTATGGTCAGTTGTCAATGGAAATTTAAAAGTACACAATTTATATTTAAGATAGATAGATATCAGTGGGTTGCATTAGAAAATTATCTAAAAAAAATAATTTTATATTCAATCTAAATCTAAATGAAGTTTTGATATCTGTGTTGATAATAAAGCTACCTTATCAAAGGGTAACCTAAAAGATACGTGCAGGTCGATATTTTAATGAATTAAATGTAAATTACTTGAACGTTATCTGTAATGATTCTTAAATTGGACATTCATTGCTCACCAGACAAGGGATTTTAAAAAGGTAAGATCGGACTTTGATTTTGTTAATTATGACGTCAGAATTTTGTAATACTTTGATTCATAAACTGTTGACCGCGACTCCGTCCGCGCGGAATTAGTAAAAAAACATAATTAGTTGCCTACATGTTCTACCAGAGTATGTTCTATATGTATGCCAAATTTCATCGAGATCCGTGCAGTTCTGGAGATACCTTCAAACAAACATCCATCCATCTAAACATTCGCATTGATAATATTAGTAAGATGAGTAAGATTTTATATACAGGATGTCTCTATTTCATTAAAATATATGTAAGGGTGATTTTGTATTTATACAAATTCGGTGCAATGAAGTTCTGGCATATTAACAAATAATAAACGCATTTGACAACGTAGAAACAAAAGCTAATCGACGCCATTATAATAGATAAAAATACTTTTTACTAAAAATTAATGTTTAAAATGAAAATAAAAGTAAAATCGTCTCCATAAGTTTTTAATAATTCGTGAAAATGTTTATTATTAAATATCTAAGCCATATATCAAGAATTAGAAAATTTTACTTAAATAGATGTTAATTTGTTTTTTTTGACGTCACTTAATACCCTCAATACATTTTAAATTGAATGATTTGAACATGTTGTGACGTGTTTTTATGATCACCGTATAAATTGAAAAAGAAAATGATTAGGTAATTTAAATTGTCCGTGTTTTAATTGTTTTACGATCTTAACATTTGAATGTGCGGTTGAACAACGCTATCTTAGTATAAATATATTTTATTTTGAATAATTTTCTTTATAATTTGTATACAACGTCATGAGTTAACTAAGGTAAGGTGCTTTCCTTAAAATTAACTACTACTTCGTGTATATCAAGTGCAACTTAATTTTAATATTATTATTATTATTTACAGTGGTCATTGTTCTCGTCCATTAATTTAAGACTCGAAAGTGGAGGTTATTGGGTTCCGGAAAAACCATTATACATCACGCTAGTGGGGGGATAAAGAATCACGTGTATTTATTCCGATTGATGACGTAAGTATAGTAAATAAAACTTACTAATATTATATTGTTTGTGAATAATATAATGTTTGGATGGATGTTTGTTAAAAGGTATTAAAAACAGCTCAATGTATCTTCATGAAATTTGCCCTAGATATAGAACATATTCAGGAAGGAAACATAGGCTACTTATTCAGTTTTTTTAATACCGCGCGGGCGGAGTCTCGGGCGACAGCTAGTATATAATATAAACATTTCAAATTTAGTTTTTACTAATAAAGAATATATGATTTTAGGTATAGGAGAGAAGGAGTGGAATAAACATTACGGAATAACAGGAAGAGTAGGCGTTAAAAGTTGGTGAAAATATCACGCGATTAATGGACGACCCCTTACTGGCATACGCATCTGTAGCTGTTGCCGTTTGGTACGTACAATATAAAGTATTATTATAAGTATTAAGTTATCTTAGTATCTTCATATTATGTCATTCTCAACTTTAGCGGATTTCAAGGTGCGAGGAGTATGGCTACTTATCTTAAAAACATTTTACAATATTCAATCTATTTCTGCAAAGAATTAAGCTGTATTATATTTTATTTGTCTTTTGCCGTTAAATTATTAAGAAAATAAGAAATCAAAGAGTAAATCTGATTTATATTTTACTCACCATTAAGTCGATCTTTGACGACCTGATGCGCGAAGGCCGCGGCTGCCGCTTGCCTCATAGGGTCCAGCGCCACGCCCCATGCGCCCAAAGCCCCTAGCGCCCTGTGTGCCGGCACGCGCACCACCCCTGGGCTTCCCGAAAACCCATACCCACCACCCAAGCCCAGCCCTGGCCTCAGCAAGAGCCCAGAGTTAGGATACAGGGCCGAGTTATGAGAGAAATTTAAAGGTAACCCCGAATTGTCTCTGGCTTCATCTTTCGCACTCTCTGATTCAGTGTCCTGGTCACTTCTATCACTCTCTCCTGAATTTCTCTTGTCTATGTCTTCGAATTGCTTACCAAGAAGTCTTGATATACTGAATGGTAAGTTGACTCTTTGTTGAGTATCTGTCATATGCTCGTTGGGAGAGTTGTGGTATGTATGAAAACTATGCTCTGAGTCTCGGTCTTCGGAAGCCACACTCCTGTCACATGCCCCTGACAGTCTGCTGTCAGAGTCCACGTTGATCTCCTCCTGGTCGTCATCTGAATGCATTGACGACATTTTGTTTTTTTTTCTTGTCTTTAATTAAACACAAGCACTTTTGTTTCTTTTTGTCACCATAATATTCTAAAAATCACTTAATGTTCATTAAATAATTGAACTTTTGTACTAAAAATATATTTAGTGATTTTTATTATGATTTATTAATTGTGATTGGTTAATTAAATACTTTTTATTTGTCTATGATTTCTAATTTGACAGTTCGAACGCGCGATTCCTTTTTCGAAATAGTTTTGGCGCCACGCTCGACCGCCCGCGGTCGTACCGTCGCGCACAATATCAGTAAACGACCCAATCAGTTGCACCCCCACCGTTTCACATCGAACTATACTATAACCACACAAAGCGCCTCAACTATACCCCGTTGAGTGGTACAGTTTCCGACAAAAGCTTAATACGATTTCCGAACATAAAAACGCGCTTCGACTCACCAACTTTAACAGAATGGCTTGCTCCGTCCTTTTCTACTAGCTTCTTGAGTTCTTGATCTCCCCCATGTACATTCATTTCCTGTACAATGTATTTTGAACCTTACTCCTATGCGATAAAGTACATTTTTAAATCCAAGTGTATAATCATTAGGACATTTCAATAATAAACCTGAATCAAGTACCGAAACAGTAAGAACCTTAGAGGGAAAGAGACAGCAATACTGCATGATACAGAGACAATAATGCATTAGAAAGAATCGGATAGTATTTTGTCAAAGGGCGTGCTCAGTACAGTAAGGCATCATTTAAATCCAGTTACGGCCTGACAAATGGTGTACATATTAAGGGGGGAGCGATGTTAGGAAACTATTTTTGAATCTTTTAAGACAGTTAAATTATTTACGTACAGCGGTCGACCCGGGTACAGACAATGCACTTTATAATAAAATAGTTCCCAAGTTTCGTGTTATGGTCAAAGATAAGTAAGGATAATGTATTGGTGAAGATAGCTTCTTTATGGTATTAAGAGCGACATTTCGAGTGGTAAAGGGTGTTAGATTATTGCTGCCTACGATAAAACACCTTCAAATATGGCGATCGCTTCTATAGTAATTGTCGGTTGCATTTGAATTTGAAATATAGATACGAATACGAATATAAAACGTGAACAGAATTAATGTAATTGATTCTTACAATATGATAGCCTTTTACGATGGCTTGGAAGGTTGTATGTATTTTTATATAATAAGAACATAAAGTAGGTATGTACTCATATATTAATTACTAATAATAGTACAAATTCTCATGGGGTTCCGTAGCCGGTGGTACTCTATTTTTAATATAATTTTTTATTTTATAAATGCAATGTACTTTGTTAAGGATATGATAAATAAATACCTAATACTTAACAGTGGTAGAGCCCGCTTTGACATCTTCGCACGAATTGGCCCGACTCGCCCGGTGAAATACCACGACCACACAGAAGACAGGCGTCAAGTGGAAGTAATTCCGAGTTTCGTCTGATGAGTGTGCGTCCCGGAGGCCTAATTTAGTCCTCTTTCCCTTCCCACCCTTTTTCTTATAAGGAAAGGATGGGAAGTGGAAGTGGACTTTCCAGATGAGAGGATGCGTGGAAAGGGAAAATATTTTCTTTCTGTGCATCCTCTCCTCCGTCGATTAAATGTAGGCAACGCATATGCAATTGCGTATGTCTATGGACAACGGTCATTTCGCTATTTCAGCGATTTCAGGTGACCGCTCGCTCGTTTGCCACCTTATGATATAAAAAAAATACACGTACAAATTCTATGTATCTAAGTATTATTAAGAACTTTATTTTTAATGTTCAAATGTTGATTTTTAATATTTACTATACCAAAACAAATTTTTCAGTCGCATTCAAGAGTGAAGATTACGTAAATTTTCCATTTATCTATTATAATACTAATTCTCCGTCCGCACGGCATTAAATAACAGAAACATAATTAGTCCATGTGTTCTTCCAGACTATGTTCTACATTTATGACAAATTTCAGCCAGATCCATGCAGCCGTCCTGGATATACCTTTTATAAATCCATCCATCCATCTAAACATTCGCATTTTTAAAATGATTACGATACTTAGGTAATATTAAGGTAAAACTAAACTATTAAGATTAAGGTTACGGTAATGTTTCAATATCATCGTAGTATGGTAAAATTTACTTGATCTAGGAAAAATCAGAAAAGCTTTCGTGTTGTATTTTTCTGTGTCCCGACATCTAGTGTCGAAAAGATGTTTTTTGAGTTTTATTTCAACAGAGACATCTATTGTTGAGTGGCATAACTCAAACTTAATTGGATTTCAATTATTTTAAGGAAAATGCATAGTGAAAAGAAGTGGCGAGAGAAAACGTTCTAGCAAAATAAAAATTAAGCTTAAGTAATGTAACTCAATTTAATGTATAAAATAATATAAGATTATTATGAAAAAAACAATTAGTGTTTGATAAGACTGCTAGCAGTCTCTTCAACAGATGGCGCTAGCGCCATCTGTTGAATTTTTTTTTTTTAATTCTCAGATGGGTTCTTGTCTCATATATCAGAAACTTGATGTAAATAATTTTACTTGATTCCAATTTTCAGTGAGTACAAAACTTACATTAAGATTAAAATCAAACTAGTAGTTTAAATTCAATCATAGTTTATGTCATTAAATTTATACAATCATGCAATGCACTCACGCATGAAATTTGATTTTAAATTTGAAATTATATATATTTTTTATTTTCCTATTATATACAAGATGAAATTCGTTGATTATTTATTAAGTTTCGTTCTTCTAAGTGAAATTGGTATGATTTTTTTGGGGCTTTAATTTTAGACTTACGATACTTACCAAAAAATACTTTCGCATTAAAAAAGCCAAGAGCAATTGGGCTAATTACTATACTATAATACCATACCAATTACTATATTTAAGTTATTAAAACTTAAGTGAATTTTTTCTTACAGAAACTATCAGAGGTTTGAACATTACTGCAGAAGTTCTGAACAAAACACGAAGGATTCTCAGAGGTTCCGAAGCTGGAGATTCAAAACCATTTATGGTAAAAAATTCTTAATTTGAAACTATCTAAAAACAACATAGAAAGGGAACCTTAACAGTTTTTATTTAGTTATGAATATCCGAAGATTGCTTCCAAAAATAAACACCGCTTCTTCGGAAACATTGCCACACCCACAGATCATTATTAAACATAGCTGTCGCACGCGACTACGTCCGCACGAAAAAACCTTAATTACTAATTTAGTATTTTTGCCTTTTTGTTCTTACAGACTTTGTTCTACATCTGAGCCAAATTTCAGCATCCGCATCTGCAGATACCTTCCAACATGCAGTCATCCAAACATTCTCATTTTTAATATTAGTAAGATAACAAGACAGACAGAAGTCAATCATTAACTTTCAGGAACTTGAATATTGGATACAAGAGAATTATTTTTTTGCATGCAATTTTTTCCATCGTAATGATTGCTATTAATTTTATTCAGGTATATTTAAGGCCAGCGCGGGACGCGGAGAATGCAGTAGTCGATCGCAACTGGTTGTGTGGTGGTGTCATCATACATGAGAACTACATTCTGACCTCCGCCGCATGCATTGAAAATATAGGACACTTCTACGTCGTCTCCGGTACACACAGGTGAATTAAAAAAATTACCGCATAATTAAAAAAAAACTACTAATTAATATGTCACTCTGTGTTAGTGTAGCTTCCCAGCAAAGAAAGAATTTTTCAAATCGGTTCAGTAGTTTTGGAGCCTATTCAATGCAAACAACCAAATATTTCTTCTTTACAATATTAGCAGAGATACGCATAATAAGCTCGTTATAATTTCATTTAATTTTTTTGGTAATAGATGGCGCTGTTTTAATTTTAAAGTAAAGTGACTCATTAAATTCATAAAGAACTAAAGACTGTGTGCGTCAGTAATATTTTTATGGCAATTTAAATTTCACAAATGAAACAGATGGATCCCGCCCGGTATCCAAGACGATTGTATTACGAATGGTGCAATGAAAGCGGTCTGGAAATGCGTACCTGCCAGTGAGTAAATCTTTCTACACTGATCTATTAATGTATAGGCGTTTACTTTGTTTTAGCTTTTGTTTCCGATTTAAACGCGCCTGATGTTACGTGACAATTCTATCTATAATAATAGTTCGAATCCAGACCACTGTTACAAACTGCATGTTCCCTATCCCGTTCTCTCTCATTCTAGGAAATGGGGAGAGAGCCCCACATAACAGTGGTAGAGCCCGCTTTAACATCTTCATAGAAGACAGGCATCTGATGAGTGTGCGTCCCGGGGGCGTAATTTAGTCCTCTTTCCCTTCCCACCCTTTTTCTTATAAGAAAAGGATGGGAAGTAGAAGTGGACTTTCCGGATGAGAGGATGCATGGAAAGGGAAAAGGTTTTCTTTCTGTGCATCTTGTCCTCTGTCGATTAAAGGTAGGCAACGTAAATGCAATTGAGTATGTCTATAGGCAACAGTCACTGCGCTATTTCAGCGGTTTCAGGTGGTCACTGGCTCGTTTGCCACCTTATGATATAAATAAATAATAACCACCGTGTCTTTCCCCAAGGTGCGGTGGTAAGAAAGGGGTTCAATTGAAAGGAAATAAATCTATCTTATTTCTATGTGTCATACTTCTTAGATTACGAATACGATGGTGATCAATTCGAGAACATTCGATGGATGATCAACGACATAGCGGTGGTGAAAGTGGAGGACAGGTTCAACTTCCAGCGACGTGTTGTCGGCTGTGACTACGTACCAAAGAAGATACAGTTTAACAACAAAAGTATTGACTTAGAAGCCCCAGGGACTATCGGGACTCTTGCTGGATGGGGGTCACAAAATCACTTTGGAGATCCTATAGAGGTAAGTGGCTACAGCATAACAAAACTAAGCCCTTGAAAGGCATTCAGCTGTGAACTTGACCACAGTTAAAATGGTAGATAGTCAATGATAAATTAAGGAATCGACTAAGACAAACTATTGTTCTTGCTTTAACCGTCTAAAAGAATGGTATTAAATGAACAAATGAGTAACCAACCTAAACTGATCCACCGTGGTTGACTAAGACCTAATCACTTTTAACTTGGTTAGGCTATTCGATATATGTGGATGACGAGGATAAATGGCCGGCACTGCTTCTGCAGTTCCTCTGATGTTGCAGATGTCCATGGGCGTTGTTGATCACCTCGGTGTTCCCGCCGCTCGTTTGCCCCCTTCTTTTATACAAAAAACTAGCTGTCGCCCGTCGATAGCCTATGTGATCTTCCAGACTATTTTCTACATATATGTCTAATTTTAGTGAGATCCATGCAGCCGTTCTTGAGACCTCTAACAAATATCTATTCGCTTTTATAACATTAGTAGATCTGCTAATATTTTAATTAAAAAGTTTTTTACTTAGGCTCTGGAAAGACAAACAATCAACTCGCCAGTGCTTATGGAGACGAACACAGTACTGCTAGGCAAAATTCACTGCAAGCGACGTTGGCCGGAGCGATACCACTACATCATCGAGAAATCCATGATCTGTGCCAAAGACACCGTCAGTGGAGGAGAACTCGCCGGTCTTTGTAACGTAAGTATACTCTTATTCACGTGATGTCACCAACAACGTGTCTACCAAAGATAAATAAATTAATAATATCTAATAATATCCCTTTTTTAATGTTGTAGAAATGTAAATAATTGTATAAAATTCCAGGATAAAGTAAAATGCAAGGAACTGATAGACTCTCAGGAAGATTATGGCATAAGAAGATCGGTTCAGATAGGAGAAAGCGAGGTGCACAATGCTGCACATTCCGACTCCACTGGACACAGGAGAGCTAAGATATCTACAGGGGGATTCTGTGAGGTAAGATTAACTGTCGTACCAAGAGGGGTTTATGCGCTCTCTCTCTCTCTGTCTCTCTCTGTGCCAAGTTTCCTCATTCCTGATAGTCGCGACCTTTTCTCTTGACAATCTCTCGTTAGGTGTTTCTTCACTATGTCCGGTCTCAGCCATGTGGATGGCCTTGTTATGATGTAGAAATTTGCAATACTAAACCAGCCTGGACTGATTAAATTTAAGTGACCGATGACACATTAGTCTTGTTAAACGCTTAACAAAAGGATATAGGCACTTCATTACTAGATAATAAATAATATACTTATCTTTATTTTCCTACATAAAGACATAATAGAAAAGGGCATCAACGTTAAGATTAAAGTTTCTCCTAACGTTCCCTCTTATATTACCAATCAGCGGGGCTACACAAAGTGCATTTGCTCCGAAGCGGTTCTATAACGAACTTCAAAAACCTATAGAACTAACAATGACTTTCCATTAGTCACGTGATTCTCGCGCGTTAGCTCTATACATTTTTGAAGTTCGTTACGGAATCGCTTCGATGTGAATGGACTTTGTCTAACCCCGCTGGTCTAATCAGTCAGACGTGACTCATAACGTATGTTAGAACGACCACGGCGGCCCCCTGGTTGTGGGTCACGGCAACAGCGCGACAGTGGTGGGCATCATCTCCGCCTGCCTCACCACCAACCTCACGCGCAAGTGCTACGGCCCCTTCCTCTACACCAGCGTGTACAACAACCATCTCATGATCACGTGCGCTGTTGATAAGGAAATCTCGTAAGTTTTATCCACTTAGTACCAATTTACTAAGTACTTTATACCATCACCTTTAGACGCCAGTAACATGACAGAAGACAGGCAAGAAGTAGAATCTGCGTTTCGTCTGACGAGTGTGTGTCGGACGTCTAATTTAAGTCTTGTTTCTTGTTTTCTTATAAAGAGCGGATGAGAAGGGGAAGTGATTTGACTGTTGATGTGACGCATAGGATTGGAACATATCACTCAGTAGGTTACCTATTTCGTCGAATGGAAATAGACAACGCCTTTGTAAATTGCGAATGTCTTTGGGCAGCTGTAGCTGTGCTATTTCAGTGAACTCAGGTGGTCGCTCGCTCGTTTGCCACCTTATGATATAAAAATATACCCAGTGCTTTTCCCATTATCTCAAAAAAGGGTTCCGATTTTGATTTTGTCTTGTTCAAAATAGTTTGCAGTTTTTAGCATTCAAAGCGTGTGGTAATCGTGTTTTGTTACATTTAGACCTGCTTGTCGGAGTTATGTATTCAGAGCTACGAATACGAAAATGGTTGAAACGACATATTCCTGGATTGGACATCCTGATGGGTATGTATTCGATAGTTTAAAAACTATTACTATTTCACTTATATTCTGGGTATATACTTATAAGTTTATTGACACTTTTATTATAATTGTGTATATTCTACTCTGTTTAATATTTATAAATAAAAAACCTATTGTAAAAACTATATCTTGAAAGAAATTTGCTATGTTTTTTCTAACTCTAGCATTTACATTTAAAAGGTGACTCTGGCTTCAATTAATAAGTAGCTTATGTATTCTTCCAGACTATGTTCTACGTCTATGCCAAATTTCAGCGAGGTCCATGTTGCCGTTCTGAATATACCTTCTAACATCCATCCATCTAAACATTCGTATTTATAATATTAGTAAGATTTGAATTGTAGTGTAGTATATTTTCCTTTAATTTTATAATACATAGTAATTTAAACATTTCAGTCCGGCAAAGTCTGAGCTTGTGACAAAAATAAGAAGAGAAACAAATGAAAACATAGAAAATCTTAGTGAAAAAGAGTTCCTTAATTAAAAAAAAATATTTTACAGAACCAAAAACATTTCCGCTTGATTTATTTAACTTCTAGCCCTCGCTTTAACATGTCCTTGAAATCAATTATTAAGAGTTCTTAGAGGATGAGCAAGGCTTCAGAATTCGCTAAAATAGCGAAATGACAGCGGCCTAAATATCTGCTTTATGTTAAAAAGTTGCAGATATAGTGCCTGGCTTAAATAGACAAACGAGATGACGTACATAAATATAATTCGCTTCATATTGATCCCGTCCCTAGTTAAGTCTTTTCCCCATCATATCTATTCCTTACAAGTTGAGAGGAGACGGAAAGAGGACTATTTGAAACAGCACGCACACTTATCAGCGTCGCGGAATACTTTCTCTTGACGCATTCCTGCTGGGTTGTTGTGGTTTTGCACTGCAACATTCTTGACGTAGTAACATGCTGCATATTTCCTCAAGGATCTCTACAACCACTGAATATAAGTGAATGCATGCCAATATATGTAGATTTTTGCACGAACTGCAATTTTAAATCAATACCACCATCATCAGCTCACTATACGTCCCCACCGAGGGACTCGGAACCTACCCTAAGTTAAGGGTGATTAGGCCATAGTCAACCACGCTGGCCAAGGGCGGGTTGGTTGACTTCACACATATCTTTGAATTTCTTCTCAGATATGTGCAGGTTGCATCACGATGTTTTCCTTCGCCGTAAAAACGTCGGATAAATGTACATATGTAAATCGGAAATCGAAAAACACATTGCTACATGGATTCGAACCCAGGACCTTCAGATTGCAATTCAAGTGCTTGACCACTGAGCAGATACGTAATGATGAAATTTCGACTAAAAATCCAGCCAAAATGTAATTCAATGAGCTATTAAACTCCTAAGATGTTGTATAATTTACGCTTTGTTTTCCAATACTAAAGGTTTTTTCAAGACTTGCAGAGAAACATATTGCTATCTCTTTTTTCTCGAAGACTTTAAGAGGGAGAACGATATGTCTTTGAATGCCTGTTTCGGTAGTACAAATCAAGGATTTGATTTTTCCTTATCATGTGTTTTGTTTGAACCGTTGTTTCGTTTCCGTTCTTGTACCGTTGTGTTGGCGTTCACACAAATCACTTTAATAAAGGAATTTCAATTAATTTTATCATGAAATTGAATTAATTGTTTATTTTAATTAGAATTTCACATGGAGTAAATTCCATAATGAAATGTTTATTTTTTATAATGTCAAGTGATTTGTTTTTATACAGTATATATATTTTATTAGGTAATGAATCGTTTTTTAATTAATTTCTTTTTATAAAATATAGACAAGACTTCGATTTTTTTATATTTTCCATGTATACTGAGAAGAGATAATTTTATTGTTTTCAGGTTCTAAATTAATTGAGGGTACAACAAAAACTATTAAAATAAGTGAGTTATTAAGAAATACAGGTAGAATTGATTTATTAGGACATTTAAATGCAACAAGAAGAATATTAGATGGCAAGGAAGTGCGAGAAAATAGACCTTATATGGTAATTATTAATTTTAATTAACCTTACTTGACCATATTAAAAAAAGCGCCATCTATACAGATAAATAAGTAACCGAGGCTTATCTTACTATTATTATAAATGTGAATATTTGGATGGATGTTTGTTAAATGTTTGTGTGTATTTAGAGAACGGCTCAAAGGATTTCGATAAAATTGTATGTGCGCAAGAAGACTTAGGCTAGCTAATTAAGTTTTTTTTTCTAATTCTTTTATAGCATTTCTTTCGACCCGAAGAAATGTTCGAAATTGTGGGCAATAGCTTTTTATATAGAATTACCTATCGCCCGCAACTCCGTTCGTGTGGAATTAATAAAACCTAATAAGTAACATTTATTCAACGTCCGGTGATGGAAAACACCGTGATGAAACTTGCACATATCTGAGAAGAAATTCCATGATATATGTGAAGTCAACCAACCGGCACTTGGCCAGCGTGGTTGACTATGGCCTAATCACCCTTAACTTAGGGTAGGCTCCGAGCCTCTCAGTGGGGACGTAAAGGGAGCTGAGTGAGATGATGATGATGTGATCGAAGGATGGTATGCAATAGCTTAGTAAATATCTATTCACCCTTCTCTTGAAGGGACCCACGTTATAACTAGACGGAACCAGTACTTTAAAACTTAAATCTTTGATGTAGGTATATCTCAAGCTTCCAAAGAAGTATCCAAAACAAGGGGACTATCGACGCTGGTTTTGCGGCGGTGTGATTATCCACGAACAGTTTATCTTGACCTCCGCAGCCTGTATTGAAGATGTCAAACATTTCTACGTCGTCTCTGGAACATTTACGTAAGTATAAACCAGTTTAAATTGATCTCCAGGTAAATACGCTGTAATTCGTTCTCATAGGACAGTATTGTAGTATATTTTGCTAGTAGAAAAAAGCAGAACGGTAGAAAATCAATATTCAATCCTTACGATCGATCCGAAAATTATTTCTTTGGCTTAAACGTAATAAAATATTTTTCTACCTAATACATCATGTTTTAAGCTTTGGCCATAAAGAACCTATAACATTTTTGTCACCTTTTCCTGAGAGCTTATTTAGTAAATTGATAAAATCGTAATTGCTGCATCTCTCTCGCAATTAGTAATGAGTTGCATATAAAATACAGTTTATAATCATTGTATTTATTTTCTTTGACAGCTTTTACGAAGGTGAAGAGGAGTACACTAATCAGTGTTTCAAAAATGGAGCAAAGAGAGCAGTGTGGAAATGCATACCGAGAAGTAAGCACTAAGTAATGTTCTATCCATCCATCCATCAATACTACCCGAACTCAACCCCAACATAGTTCAACTATGCTCCAACTCAACTACAACCCGACCCATCTCATCTAATTTTAACTCTACTATATGTACCACTAATTATTTCTGTATATATGACCTATCGCATGCGATTCCGTCCGCGAAGAATTAAAAAATAATTTAATTGGTAGCCTATGCTTTCTTCTAAATCTATGCCAAATTTCAGCGAGATCCATACAGCCGTTCTGTAGATACCTTCAAACAAACATCCATCCAAACATTCGCATTTATAATATTAGTAAGAAGTAACATAATAACTTGCTCATTGTTTTTTTTTTTCAAGATTACATATTCGATGGTCACGAGAACGACAACGTACGCTGGATGAACAATGACTTGGCTATCGTGAAAGTGGAAGATGAGTTTGATTTCGACCGTCGTATGCGCGGCTGTGACTTCATACCAGCACCAATCGCTTATAATAATCGTAGTGAACAGTATGAAAGTGCTGGTAACATCGCTTCAGTTGCTGGATGGGGTAGCACGGATAAGTATAGCGATGTAACTGCTCAAGACTTGTTAAACATATTGTTGTCTTTCTCTTTTACTAAGAGCATGAGTGGGATGACAGAATTTGTACAAGTTTCGTCTACAGTTTCGAAATTCAAATAAGTGTAGAACCTCTTTGACTTAAAAAGGTTAGCTACAATAGAGGAAAAACATGAATTGATTAACTCATTGTAAAAGGACCTATTGTTCTAAGCGCACAAAAACTCGATCTAGATTATGCAATATTTTCTTTTATCTAAAAACTACAAATTATAACTATGATGTACAACAAAGTCTAACTTAAATTGTCATCCAAAATACAAAGCTTTACTTCTTCAAATAACGGTGATATAAAAAATCTTTATTTGTAGTGGATCAACGCTCGAAGTGGGAGTAACAGACAAGCACTGTTAGAAAGTAATGTAATTTTGATATCAAAAGCTTTGTGCAAGAATCGATGGGGTCCGCGATATCACAACATCATTGAGAACTACATGATTTGTACTAAAGATATCACCGCTCAGCTCAGTGAAATGTGTCACGTATGTATCATTTACTTCATACTAATCTTACCATTGCTTTCTGAGATCTAAATCTGTATATATCTTCGTCCCTGTCATTATCTTTGAGAAAACAGTGATAACAATAAGTTATGAACGAGGATTTTTGGTCACAGGAAACCCTCAATTACTAATTTGATTTGCAAATGTTTAGCAATTAGATTGATGGATCTTTTAGCAGGTTAATTTGAAAACGATATAACAGACCAGAATGAAATTTAACCACGCGAGGTCGCGGACAAAAGCGCAAGCGTGCCTGTGCCCTCCCTACTATGCGTAGGAACAGAGGGGTTTAGTGGATATGCTTCCCATTCGGAAGAAAATCCCACGTAACTACCGCGTCCCCCCTGGGGCGCGGAGTATGCATAAAGCATTCACCTCCGAAAAAAGGGTCTGGACAGACAGACGGACGGACAACAAAGTGATTCTATAAGGGTTACGTTTTTTTTGCTATGAGGTACGGAAACCTAAAAAGGATGAAATTTAGCATTGAGATAGGTTACTGTCTGAAATAAGATATAGGCTACTTTCTTTAAAATCTTCAGAATAAATAAAATTGTAGCCTATTTAATTGAAAATACATTGTCTTAAATACAATATTGATTTTCAGGATAAATACGTTGATTGCACTGATATAATGTACTCGGGGGAATACGAAGGTGAACGAAGAGATATGTCAAATGATTTATTAGTGCACTCAGCATCTCATCATTTTGATGGTAGAAAAAGAATAAAATCTTGGAGCGGTGGTTTCTGTGAGGTAATTTTATTAAATATTTATAACATTAGGTTAAAGTCAATATTCATAGTTTTCTGATAATCAGTCTGATAAGATAATTCTACTTTTACCTTCGAAATTACAATTAATTTTTAAGTTCTTTCTAATTTACAGCTTTATTGTAAAACTAGCTGTCGCCCGCGACTTCGTCAATAGGTCACGTGATTGTCGTCTGTCAATTTCACACAATTTTGAAATTCGCTATGAAATCGCTTCGAAGCGAATACGTTTTGTCTAACCCCGCTCATCCGCTTATCTGACATTTGCAATTTAATCTGCGCTGTGGGGAAACCTCATAGCTCTTTTATTATGTGTCTCTTGTACTATATATGTGTGTGTGTGTCTCTATTCCAGAACGATCACGGTGGTCCACTGGTCTACGGAACCGGGAACGAGGCTGTCGTAATCGGCGTCATCTCAGCCTGCCTCGTCAAGGAGGCAACAAACAAGTGCTACGGACCCTTCCTGTATACCAGCGTCTACAGGAACAGGAAACTTATCAATTGCGCCCTTTTCAAGGATCCCAAGTAATTTTCTGATTTTTTTATATTACACTTCATGATTGTCGTGAGATTTAATTTTAGAGCTTTTAGGGAAAGTTATTGATTTTTGTTTAGTATTTTTCTAATACCAACCACATTCATTCATTGTAGAAATTAACTTCTTTTTGTAATTATTGGTGTATATTGTGAGGAAGAAAATCCGACACTGTGCCGGTGTACTGGCACAACACTAGAATTACTAAACTGACGTGTATGTCCCCTCACTAATCATTCTGACACTGGACATTGTATCGAAAGCACGTCATTCGCGCTAAAGGATTCTAATTAATAATTTGTAAAAATACAAAATTAAAGATATCTTAAATTCAGATGATAATTTCTATTCCAGTGTTAACTGCAAAGTATTTAGAACAGATGATACATTTCTTGAGATAGACTTGAAATGGGAAGAGGATGACAGAGAAATAAATCAAAGGTAAAATAGGTTGAAAAAGGTAATCAAACAATTAAAATGAAAATATACATTTACTATTCGCTAATAAAAGATATCTTTGAAGTCGTACGGATCTTTTATAAAATACAATCCCTTTCTTAACTAATACATGATGGTATTTAGAAGCAAATTATTTATAACTAGCTGTCGCCCACGACTCCGTCCGCGCGGTTTTAAATGAAAACTGAAATAGCCTATGTATTCTTCCAGACTATGTTCTACATCTATGACAAATTTCAGCGAGATCTATACAGCCGGTCTGGACATACCTTCTAAAATCCATCCATCTAAACATTCGCATTTATAATATTAGTAAGATTTGTTTTATTTTATCATATAATGTTTTCTTACCAGCTATGAGTCAGAAGTAGTTCCAATACGACGGAAAAGAGAAAAAATCTCAAGAAAAAATAAATAATACGACTCTTGTATAATTAAGTGTTGGTTTCTGAGACAAAAATCACTGTATAAAATATATCGTCTTATCTTTATCTTGATGTCTGTGTGAAAGAGGATATGCCTAGGTAGACTCGGATATGACGGCTGATAGAGATGTATGGAGTAGTACATCCTGTGCCGACCCTAGATAGGGATAAGGGCAGGTTGATGATGATCTTTATCTTTGACAAAATAGCGATAATAATATGTTTATACAGGAATTTTGGTCCCAGAAATCAACGATAAGTGATTCGGTTAAAATTAGCATTAAGCTAGCAAAACTAAGTATATTTTGAAATAAAAATGTTAACATTGTTGGATTGTATTATTTACTTATAAGTAACTTAATCTAGATTTTTTAAATCAGATAAAATGGTTAAAAATAAAAAGGATCCCTCATAAATTATAACGTTACATGCACGTTTAAGACAGAGAGGAGAAATATTATTCGTACTATTAAATAATTGGATGATGTTTTGTATGTAGAATTTTTTTGTAAATTTACTAATATTTCTTTTACCATTAAAACTAAGCTCTAGGCTTGTGCTAGGATATGGTTTACCATAGTCGAATGGCGGGATTCGAACCCCCGACCTCGTGATCGGAAATCCGTAGCCTTAACCATTATGCTATTGACGCTTTTAAATTTTATTTTTATACGTTAACATTAATTAATTTGTTCGATGAAGTACAGTCGAACCCCGGTGATACGATTTCTCAGTGACCTAACCAAAAAAGCGTCTTAGGCGGGAAAGCGTATTACGCGAGAATGGATATAAGAAGCACTCTATATTATTAAATTTCTTGTATATATAGAAATGATATATTTAAAGGTTACATACTATGTGTATTTGACAGAAAATGTATGCAAACCATGTCTCAAGTTGCAGGTTCCTACGTAAAATGGCGTATTACACGAGTTATAAATCGTATTAAACGTGATCGTACTAACGAGGTTCTGCTATATTTTCCTTTTCTAGTTATCATTTATTTAGCTGTGTAAATGTAAATTGCTATTAATTTCATACAACTATCACATCGAAGTATTAGTAAAGTTATTAGGAAACTAAATCTGTCCAGTTGTTTATATCTTTATATATATAATTCTTCTGTAAGTGTGTATGTCACTGAACTTCACTCAAACGACTGGACCGATTTTGATGAAATTTTTTGGGTGTGTTCAAGGGGATTTGGGAATGGTTTAGATTCACAATTTTGTCCGCTGGACAATGTTTTTTTAATTAATTTTTAATTTGTTAGTAGTTGTTGATTTTGGAATGTTTTACAGTGGATCCGACAGACGGCGCTACCACGTTAGATATTGTCATAACATTTGAATAATAATTTTCATCAAAATGGTCCAGAATGTTTTAGTTTATAAAAAAAAGTTTGAAATTTTCAAATTAAAGAATTGTAGACAGGACAACGTCTGTCGGGTCCGCTAGTAAGTTTATAAAATAACCAACCAAGTCGTATGTTCACGTAAAACTGTTAAAAGCTGGAGTTAAGTTTGAGTTGTCTATTGCTCCCATAGACTAAGTGTATATTTCTAATACTTTTGTAAATCTAATAAAGAAACAGTTACGCGTAAGTTAAGTCATGTTCATGGCGTTAAATTAATAATTATTAATTAAATTCTTACCGGTCTCGTTAATAAAAACATCGTGAATGTAGGAAAAACAAATATGATTTTTTATGTTTTAAATTGTTTTATTATTTTAATATTAGGTAAGTAACATAACTTATAGCTTAAATATAGCTTAGATGGCAAGATAACGTGGAAAGCGATCTTAAAAACATCGACGTTAAAAGTTGGAAGCAATAAGCCAAAAGTAGACTGGTGTGGAGATATTTACTTGACCAGGCCCAGGCCAACCAGCGTCTGAAGCGCTTCAGATGATGATGATGATGTAACATAATTAAATCAACATAGAAAAATTGATCTAAATTAATCATTTTATTTTAGTTGTAGATGTTGAATGTATAGAAACGGCAACGATATTACCAGAGAAAGTTGAACATATTTTAAATAACACACGAAGAATTATACAAGGAACTGAAGTGACAGATGGAAGACCTTACATGGTGAGTTAAGAACATTTCTAAAGTCATATAGAGCTAGGAATAATAACAAAAGAGAGAGGACGAAAGAGATGCAACAAAAAACAAGGACACACAATTCGAATATTTTCAAGGGTGAATATAACGACGAATTTAATAGGCTAGATAAAGCGTATTCGCTTTAAATCGTTTCCATAGCGAACTACAAAAATGTATGAAACTAACCCGCGAGAATCACGTGACTTATCGATAGTTATTGTCAGTTCTATACATTTTTAAAGTTCTTTATGGAATCACTTCAGAGCGAATGCACTTGGTCTAGCCGTGATGGTCTTTTAAGAAGGTTATATTACTAAAATGGTACTGGATAATTTAGAATTTAGAAACCTATTTAAGCCAGATATGTTAATATTGTAGCGGATTGTTGATATCTTTAAAACCAAATAAAGACGATAACTAATAAAACTTAGTTATACTGGAATATTTATACTGAACAACCGTTTGTTTCATAGTATAACTTTCTATAATTCTAGGTGTATCTTAAGATGCCTCGAACTAACAAGAAACAAGCAAACTATCGCAACTGGCTGTGTGGTGGTGTGATACTCCACGAGGAATATATTCTGACATCAGCCGCGTGTATTCAAGACGCCCAACACTTTTATGTAGTGTCAGGAACGTACAGGTAATAAGCGAAATATGTTAAGAATTTAGGATATAATAGCCCAATGGGCTCGGTAACACATGACAGATGTCTACTCTTGTCCGTTGTTTGGATAGCACTGACAGAAGCTTATTTCGGTATCCATACTCCGTATATTGGATATGTAGTGTAGCCAACATTACCACGAAGAATGGAGACTTCAAGAAACAAAGTTAATAACACAGTGTTAAGATTGTGATTCTCGAATGTAGTTTGTAACTTTATTTACACCTAGTTGTCGCCCGCAACTCCGTCCGCGCGAAATTTAAAAAAAACTAAATTTGTACCCTATGTGTTCTTCCAGACTATGTTCTGTATGTATGCCAAATTTCATTCAGATCTGTTCAGTCGTCATGAAGATACCTTCAAACAAACATCCAACCATCTAAACATTCGCATTAAAAATATTAGAAAAATTAAACAATCAACGTGGCGTTTTTTCAGATATTCGGAGGAAGATGATAGATTCAGCAGTTCTTGCATCAAAAATGGTGCGAAAAAGGCAACATGGAAATGTATTCCAAAAAGTAAGCTTCGTATTTAAATAGAATTAACAAGTGGATTGATATTTGTTACATTAGCGACATTCTACAGATAAAGACATATTTTTCTTCCAAATGGAATCCTGGCATCTGTCCCATTATATTGATAATTGCATATACACCTTAGCTTTGATATCTAATACATAATCTAATCTTTGCTAAACATTCAGTTTGTTATTTACAAGGCAATATTGTACTCAGATTATGTCTTCGATGGCCACGAGAACGACAATATTAGATGGATGAATAACGACATAGCGATCGTCAAAATCGAGGAAGGATTTGATTTCACGCGACGAGTTCGCGGCTGTGAGTTTACACCGAGGCCAATCAGCTTCAACAACCAAAGCCACGCAATGGAGAATCCTGGTCTCATCGCTCAGATCGCTGGCTGGGGGACAACATCGAAATACAATGATGTAAAATATTTTTTACTTACTTTAAACCAGAGTATCTGGCTGTAGAAATATAAGAGCATTTAACTAAGAATGTAACTAGGATTAGCTTTCTATTTAAAATTGCCTTACTGATAGAACAGTCATGATCTTTGGGAACGTAGTGTGTTTAATCCCCTAATAGCCTAAGCGGCTGACTTAATTTTGAAAAAAAAAGGTGTCATTTGACTCTTAATCTTTCGCAGAATGTCATTAGGGTAATAACAGTTTGGTTTTCTGATTTTTAAAGTAACAACTAGTATAGTTATTTGTTATCCTGTGAATATAACTCCTTACTATGCTTTTTTACTGTTTAACAGTGGGTGAACCGTAGAAATTACAATCAGCAAACACTATTGGAAGCTAATGTTGAGATAATATCAAAAGCGAGATGCAAGCGACGATGGGGCACACGTTATCACAACATCATAGAAAATTACATGATATGCTCCAAAGATATAGGACAGTCTATGTCTGAGATGTGTAACGTAAGTTTAACTTCTAAATAATTATAAAAATGTTAGCTGACACCCTTTACTAAGTCTGCATGTATTAAAAAAAAAACAGGGTTAGCTCGTCTTGTGTCAGACTGCAATCTGTTCTCTTATCCAAATAATATTCGTAAGAAATTCCCTAATGTAGAAATGATCTATGAAAGTTTTTGATTTAAATTTGAATCTTTTCTAACAATGACAATATAAAAATTGCATTTATTTTCTGTTTTTTTTTCAGGAGAAGTACGTTGATTGTGAAGATATTGACTATTCTGAGGAAGATATGAGACGTAAGGATATTAATTTAAGAGCTGGTAAAGTTCCAGCTAATTTTTCAATGCATTCGGCTTTGCATAACGAAACTGTAGGCAATAGTTCTGTGGACAGAAGAGGTTTTCGGAGTGGTAGACTCGAAGGTGGCTTTTGTGAGGTAAGACGTTATCAATAAATTGATTTCAACATTGGAAACTAAGCCTGTGTAGTCTTGTATTGTTAATTGTCTATTGCTTGACGATCTTTGGAGGTGCAACTAAATGTCCATAAGTTTTTTACTCAAATAGGTTTCTTTGCTGTACAATTCCTGTATTCTCCTAAAAAAACTGCTTATATCTTTTAAATTGAATGATATTTTCCAGAACGATCACGGCGGTCCTTTGATATACGGCACCGGTCCTAATGCTATTGTGATCGGCGTCATATCCGCCTGCCTTGTGAAAGAGAACTCGAACAAATGCTACGGCCCCTTCCTATATACGAGCGTGTTTAAAAACAGGCAGTTTATTTCCTGCGCCATATACAAAGAAGTTGAGTAAGTTAAAATTACAATAAAAAGTCTTTACACTTTCACTTCTTCCTTTTACTCTTCTTTATTTAAACTTATATTAAAAACGGCTAAAACACTCCCGAATGTTCGTCCGGTGGCGGCACCGACTAGTTTTGAGCCCATCGGGGGCCATCAGGGTGAGTGGGACTGGTATTATTTCACGGACGCGGCCCGTCGCTCGTCGGTGCCGTCACCGGACGAATATACGTGAGAGTTTTAGCCGTTTCTATATTAGTTTATTATAATATCTCACGAAAGTTTGTATAATTCTTCCTTATTTATCCAAGTTGTGATGAACTCTGTTCTACGACAGTTTTATAATGGACAGCAGAAGTTTGCAAGCTTTGTGACATTCAACATAAGTTCTATAGATTGTTTTTTTAATAATTTTAAGATGTACAAAATTCATTTTTACTTCACAGTCAGAAATGCAGACGTCAGTTCAGGTCTGGGGTGACGCACGAAGAGCAATATTTCTCATGGAAAGACCATCCTGATGGGTAAATTTAGTAGTAATTTTTAATTATTTTACTCGAGTCTAAAGATTTTAAGTCAAAGATTCTGGAGGCAATTAATTTTAGTATTTTATTATATTAGAGTTAATGTTTGTAAAATTTTCAGACCTGCAAAGAATGAATTAACAGAAAATATATCTAATATAGGATCATCAAATGTTAGAATTCAAGATAAAGACGATAAAATATTTCCAAGAAAAGGATTCATACTGAGATCAGCAAACGAAACAACAATCGAATAAATCTACTTAATGTTTCTAGAGATAAATAAAATTTATTAATAAAACAAACCTTTTAATTAAAGTTTATTAAATTGAATAGTGAAAGACGCAAGCTAAAAAATCTAACCTAAAGGTAATACCATAGCCTAGGCATTAGATGGATGTGTCATTTCACCTTATGGTAAGACCAATTCGGTCTAGTTTCTTTCGGGAACTGAGACAAAAAATAGTCTAATTTATCGCTGATCAAAAAGCTTTCTATTGGTATAAGAATTTTAAGTGAAGAATTTAGTATCAATCTCTTCTCTTTATACACTCACGTATATTCGGTGCCGCCATCGGACGAATATACGTGAGTGTTTTAGCTGTTTTTATATATGTTTCGTATTTATTTATAAACTTCTAGCTAAATTAGCTATTGGTTTAGCCAATCATGTGTCTTCGTTGTTATGATTGCAAAAAGGACCAAGATTTTTTGTGTTGAAATTAGTATGAATTTAATAACGTAATTTTTTTTTGTAAATATTTTCTTCGGTGTTACATTCGTCAGAACTAATAGCATCATCATCATCAGCTCCACTATACGTCCCCACCGAGGGGCTCGGAGCCTACCATAAGTTAAGGGTGATTAGGCCATAGTCAACCACGCTGGCCAAGTGCGGGTTGGTTGACTTAACACATATCTTTGAATTACTTCTCACATATGTGCAGGTTGCATCACGATGTTTTCCTTCACCGTAAAAACGTCGGATAAATGTACATATGTAAATCGGCTATCGAAAAACCATTTGTACATGGCGGGATTCGAACCCAGGACCCGCAGATTGCAAGTCAAGTGCTTGACCACTGAGCCACCAACGCTCCCACTATCTACGGTGAATCCAATTTATTTCTTTTGATTAAAAATAGTTATATTAATTGAAATTGTTGATGCATATCAATATCAATTGTCCAAATAATTATTTATATTTTTAATCAAAAAATTACTTATTACAATTTTTCAATTTAGATCCCTTTTACGATTGAATTTGTTACCTGACATGTCTAAATTTTATTTCTTCCTGGTTTCTTGCTATTGGATATTTGGTAAGATATTAATGTTTTATAGAGATTCAAATCTACATTCTCTACTACTAATACACAATATTACGCTAAAATCATTAAAGATTCTGTCAAATATAAAATTTCTAATGAGTTTTCGTTTGTTATAGATTTGGTCTTATCATCACCTACATCAAACAGCACAGATGTAACTAAAGTTAGTAGTCTTACTACAACTCCAAATCCAGTTATAACGAAGACAACTGAAACAGCCAATGACTCTATCAATGAAATAGATGACATACCAGATGAAGGATGGGAATATGAAAATACAACTGTTGTGGACACGCGCAGAATCTTGTACAGCAAACGAGTTCCAATCGGAAAAAGACCTTATATGGTAATACTAGCTGTAGTCTATGACTCCGTCCGCGCTGAATTAAAAACAAACTTAAGCAGCCTATGTGTTCTTTCAGACTATGTTGTACATCTATGACAAATTTCAGCGAGATCCATGCAGCCGTTCCGGAGATATCTTCAAACATCCATCCATCCATCTAAACATTCGAATTTATAATATTAGTAAGATATTCTTTTAACTTTATAACCTTGATATCGACGATCTATAAATTCGAAATACAAAACTGACGGTGGAGATCTGAGCCTAAAATCTCTGTTTAAAAGATACTTCATCCTTGTCATTATCTTTGAGAAAATAGAGATAACAGCATGTTTTAAACGGGGATTTTGGTCTCAGAAAGGAGTTTAGTATATAAATTATTTTTTTAGCATGAAGGTCGAGACAAAAAGTATTTGAGTAATTTCCTTATGAAACTGCTTTTTAAATTTTCCTTCTCTTCTATTCGATGTCTTAATTTTATTTTTGTGTGTTTTCCTTTTTTTTGCCTTCTCCACCAGTGAGTCTTCGCCGTTGTAGCATTTCTTCTCTTCTTCTTCGTATACTTCATTACTGAACATCGTGATTGTCTTGATATGCTTTCACGGCTGTGTAGCATTTCTATTATAACAATATAACTATTTCTCTCTTATTTACTTTGGAAGACAGAGATAGTTATACTTTTTATTCATGTTAAGACAATTGAACAATTGAACGTTTTATTCATTTAGATTACTGTATGTTTTTCTTATTACAGATATATTTGCAACTGACAAAAGAATCAGCAAAAGCACACAAGTACAAAGGCTGGCTGTGTGGTGGTGTGATACTGTCAAACTACTATGTACTGACCTCGGCGGCTTGTGTGGAAGACGCAGAACATTTCTACATCGTGTCTGGAACTACGAAATTCGTAGATAGCTTCGATTATAAAACCGACAACTGTGTCTGTAAGCATCGTCGTAAAGTCGTCTGGAAGTGCATACCTAAAAGTAAGTAGTTAACTAAAGTTTTAATGCAGTTCTTACCGTGGGTTTGTGAGCCCAAAATCTTCGTTTGTAACGTTATCTCTGTTTTTTTAAAAATAATGATAGGAATGACGATATGTTTTATACAAATATTTTGGTCTCGGAAAACCACAGTTAGACAATTTTAAGGAAGAAATTGTCAGAACTGAGCATACACGGAAGCCGGCATCGCATCTGCAGTTCCTCTGGAATGATGTCTATGGGCATTGATGATCTACGCTATTCCCGATGCTTGTTTGCTTGATCTTTATTATTGTATACATGAAATTATGGGCAAGAGTTTTATTACGATTTACTATTCGCTGTTAACTAGAAGACAGACAGAAGAAATTAGTAAGCTTCTATGAATTAGTATTTTTCTTTTCCTTCACAGACTACAAATTTGACTTCCAAGACAGTATCAAATGGTCATCTAATGACATCGCGATAGTGAAAGTCAATAAGCCCTTCAAGTTCGGTGTGGTGGAGACGGGCTGTGAGTTCGCAACAGATTTGGTCTGCTACAACAACGTCAGCAGAGAACTGGAGAAAGCCGGCACTAAAGGATACATTGCTGGTTGGGGCAGCGGCAATACTTTCAGAGAGGTATGGACTTGTAACAATTTTGGTGGAAATTTTACTCGACGGGATTGCAATTACGTCGAAAACCAATCATAGTATACTTACATATGTAAGTCGTAAATTTGCTCTTATATTGACGTCCAAAAAAAGATCCGAAAACAGAAAGTGGTTGTGATGATTTTATGACTTCACATTTCCCTAAAGTCAATCATTCCACAATGTGCCAGCGTGGTTGACTAGGACTTAGCCACCTTACCTTATTTTGAGTAGATTGTATGTCCTAAAGAAATATACATATTGCTTAGTAGTCGAATACGAATATGGAAAGCTCTATGTTCGTAACATCGATGATCCAATATAATACAACTGTTTTCTATAGGGAGTTTACCGTCGTCAATCTGTACATATACCAGAGAACGCGAAATATTTGCAAGAAGCCAAAGTATGTGTTATGGACAACGAACAATGTGCCAAGAAATGGGCGCAGAAGTTCCGTACAATTATCAACCAGTACATGGTCTGTACTAAAGATGTGATGAAACGTATCAGCGCGATATGCGATGTGAGTATAAATTAGAAATATCCGGCTTCTGAAACTTCAAATGATAAATTCATATACAACAGTAAAACAACAACAAACAGTACCCAACATCTTAGTCAGTCCGATTCTTTCTAGGCCTGTAAAACTTAATTGTTTGCAGAAAAAATATGCAAACTGCACAGACATGGAGAACAGACGAAACGTTGAAGATGTAGCGCCCAGCGATGATCTTGCAGTCGACCTTGGCAGACATCTACGTGATCCCGACGACTATACAGCGCGTAGGTCCAGCTTAGGAGGATTCTGTGAGGTATAAGTAGTACAATGGTACAAAACTTAAAAGAACAAAAAAGGGTTTACTTGCACTCGATGTAGTAGAAACAAATTTGGGACATATCCATCGTTCTTGTGCGATTACTTCACGGCAAATATTTCACATCTATTCGTTATTTAAGTAACTGAAAGCTACAAAAAATCAACATTTATAATGTAGTGTTTAAGTGTTTCACAAAAATTCTTAATGGAATATTCATGAACATTCAATGCAATAGAAATATTCTTATGAAAAGAACTCGAACCAGTAACATAACATAAAAATATAACTTAAATCCAATAATTTGTCTATGTGATCTTGATAAACACAAAGACCTTTATTTGAACCTCCAGAACGATCATGGAGGTCCATTCACAGTGAAATACAAAGGCAAGGAGCGTGTCATCGGCGTGATATCTGCCTGCAAGATAGACCCAAAGTCGCATAGCTGCCACGGACCTTTCCTCTATACGTCCGTCTTCAAAAACAGGCAGTTCATATCGTGTGCCATCACCAAGGATATAGAGTAAGGATTTACCGTGGGTTTTTAAGACCAAAATCTATAAAACATATCGCCATCTTTTTAATTATCTTTGAGAAGAATAATAATAGAGATAATATGTTTTGAACAGGGATTTTGGTCTCAAAAAGCCACGATTAGAAACACTTTCTTTGTAATATGTTTATAGTTACTAGAGTATTTGGTTTGTGTTAAAACAAATGAGTTAATAAAAATTTTCAGAGAAAATTGTCGTCGTGTTTTCCGCTCGGGCATTACTCACGAAGAATGGTCGGTCAACTGGGACAATGTAGAGTAAGAAAACTGTCTATTACTATTAAGAAACTGGATGATTTACTAACATCAGATTACTGAGTTTGCTATAGTACATGACGAAATTTAATTCATAACTTTATCTTTTCAGTGAAGATGACAACAAAGATGAAAGGTATTGTGTGCATATAAATAAAAATTCCATCTTGATAACTTCACGCGTTCCTAAGAAAAAGGGTCTTGACAGACAGACGGACAACAAAGTTCCTATAAGAGTTCCGGTTTTTCCTTTTGAGGTTAGGAACCCTAAAAACTATACTATTTTCAAGAATTTTTAACGTATTTTGGATGTATGGAATGACTCGCTTGATGCCATACCACGACCACACAGAAGACAGGCGTGAAGTGGAAGTTATTACACGGCTTGTCAGATAAATACGCGTGCCGTAGGTCTAATTTTAGTCCCCTATCCCTTCTTACCATTTCCGAACAAAGATTTGGCGGACCTAAGGATATAGACGGGACGCTTAGTTAGGGAAAGTATCCATATTCTATTATATGTTACTCTCATCTGTTGATTAAAGAAAGGCAACCCATCTTCAAGTGCAGTGGTCACTTCGTCATTTTGGAAAATTCTGATAGACATTTGCACGTTTGTCGTACTATAAAAAATTTAAAGTTCACGAGTCCTATGATATTTTGAAAAATAACAGGCATGTTAAATTTCATTAAACATAAAATAAGTCCATTAAATACTTAAAGTTTTTGTTTTATGTCCATTTTTTTTCATTTAACAGCAGAGAGGATGAAACGGAAGAAAGGTAAGTAAATAGTTTCAGACATTATTACTTATAATCATTTGTCGCGAATGGCGCGCTTTTGTTACAAAGTCAAGTGTCAGATTGATTAGTGAGGGGACATAATGTTTGTTGTTTTTATTATTCACTCGAAAGAGCAGGCAAAGGAACTAAGCCATACAGCCTTGTCTTTTTTATTTTGAATATAGAGAATTTTATAATGTATAGGCCGTAGCCAAGTCTTATTTTTCTTCCGACATTTTTCTTTTTCTTGTTTGTTTTCGAGGGGACATAAGCGTTGACATTTTAGTAAGACTAGTGTTACGCCAGTACATCGGCAGTGTAGGATTTTCTTTCTATTCAAATTATAATACAAAAATCTGTGAAAAATTTAACTAAATGCATATTAATTCTATCACGTCTAATCGAAGTAAGTAATAATAATTCGACAATTCTTGTTACAGTGACGAACCAAGTTCCTTGAGAGAGAAGTACGATTTTATTTATTTATAATATTTTTATAAATCAACTAATAGAATTGTGGCACATTTTCTAATATGAATATGAAATTAATTAAATATATTATTATTTCAGTAAACCTAAAGTCGTAAATCATAAAACAAAATTAAGCTCCGATGAATCCAGTGACAGCGTTAGTAAAGAAACAAGACCACAAAAGACTATAAGAGAAAGAAGCAAGAAGGAAGAGAAAGTGACAGAACAGAAGAAAGAGAAAGTAAAGAATAAGCATACCAATAAACGCCCGAAAAAGATAAAGGAAGATAGAAGAAAATCGAAGCACAGCAAATCTGGTGACAGACAGAATAAAGACGATACATTCTATGAATCCAGTCGCGATGAAAATGTCAATGATCCTGAAGATCTTTGAAAGACAATAAAATAAAAGTGTTATAGATGCGTGTAGTTTATATCTAATACGACAAATCGTCGGTTTCTGAAACTTAAATACCTGTATAAAACATATTGTTTTCTTTGTTTTTATCAAAGATACTGAGAGGGATGACGATATGTTCGTATGGATCGAATTAGGTTTTAGAAATCATCGAAAAGTAAAGTCATTGAGTATTTAATTTTACCACCTTAAAATAAGATTTAACTGCATCCCTTCAAAATCGTTCTCATTAAGGAACCACGAATATTACCTCTCACTATGTGTAGAGACAGACAGGGACATCCGACGAATGCCCATCCCATTCTTTCCTTTATAAGAGAAGGTTGGGAAGGAGACGAGAACTAAAATTAGGGCAAATATTGATGAAATAAAACAGTTAATATAAGCCAAAGGTTTATTTAGGTTCAATAACCATATCGACTTTAAGACAAGCGATAAATTTTTTCAGACCAGTGCAATCCCCGCTGGGACTGTCGTAAAAGTTAAGAGTCATCTGGTAGCGTCCTTCATTCGCTTTGTTCAAAGGAAGGTATTTTGTATCGATAACCAAATCCTTGATGTTGTACTCAGCCTGAAAATAAACATGAAATTTAACTTCAGATACAAATTAATACTCTAGTCTCTATTTTGCCAAAGGAATAAAAGAGATGGCATTATAATCAACGTAAGATTTTAAACCAATAGTCTTTCCTGTACCATGTTCCCAGATTTGGAGGACTAAAGTTCACAGAAGGGTGGGCGTAGATAGGAATATATAGTCGAACCTGGAGGCGAGAAACCTCTATAAGCGAGCCATTGTCAGGTCCTGACGGAAGGGTTTCATAAGCGAGAAACTTGGGTTAGAGAGAAACCTCTATAAGGGAAAACATCGCGGTCCCTTGGACTCTAGCTAATCCAGATTAGCTTGTACTTTTTCCACTTTGAGTTTTCAATCCCTTCTTAATCTCTATAGATTAGTTTATAAATTATGTTATTATCTTACGGGTGGAAAAGGACAAGAGTCAGGCAATTCGATGTCTTTAATATAAGAGTAATAATTGCTCTCTTCTTTGCCCAATTCATCACATATATTGCAAATCTCATGAGACATCACCAGTTCATATCGACCTGATACATCTTTTTCCACATATGCTTCCACCTAGAATTTTATAAAAATAATATTACATTCTTTTCATCTTAACATTGTGTTACAAAAAATTAATAGTTAGAAAATCGTTTATTAATCACATCTATCTAAAGAAATAATAAAATTTTCAAAATATTATGCTTTAATACGGGTATATTGTGTTGAAATATCTGTTTAGTTTTTTTTTTATAATAGAAAATGGCAGACGAGCGGCGGGAACACCAAGGTGATCAACGACACCCATGGACATCCGCAAAACCAGAGGAACTGCAGATGCGTTGCCTTGGGTATTCATTGAATTTTGGTCATCAGTCAGAAAATATGTGATATTTAAGCATCTTGCATAACTCTTAATAAGTCTGAACTCAGCAGTTACTTGGCTACATATTATATACTTACAAGCGTATTTTGCTCCATCCCTTTAAGCAATTTAGCCGCACCAGACATGGCAGTGGTAGTCTCATTATATCGACTCACTTCAACCTGCGAACTGTCGAAGTACGCCTCACTTTGCTCATCACCACACACGTATAGACCAGAGTCGAAGTTCAATACATATTCTTCGATGATTTCCTAATATTAAGTTGTAGAAAAAACATGGAGTAGAAATTAGTTGAAGTAGAGCACGAGAAGAAACAAGTTGGAGTAAAAACAAATTGGAGTAGAAACAAGTTGGAGTAAAAACAAATTGGAGTAGAAACAAGTTGGAGTAAAAACAAATTGGTGTAGAAACAAGTTGGAGTAAAAACAAATTGGAGTAGAAACAAGATAGAGTAAAACAAATTGGAGTAGAAACAAGACAGAGTAAAACAAATTGGAGTAAAACAAGTTAGAGTATATACAAGTAGAAAATTAGTAACAAATAGTAGAAATAAGTATTGCAACATTCTCACCTCTGTATCCTCAGTCAAAACCGCGTAGAATAAACTAAAAATTACGAATAATCTATAGACAATCATATTGGCGTTGATGCATTGAATGAAGAGATTTGGTACCCTACAATTTATACCAACTGTCGCGTGTTATATCTGATTGCTTAAATTATAACACGACATGTAACTTGTTGATAACAGATCTTTTACACTGAAAATTATAGTTATTATGCAACAATTGTTGTTTTGTATATCATCCTATTAAATGAATATTACTAACTATTAACAGGCATATATCTTTTTTCCATCAGAATAATGTCAGAATAAAGTCATTTCTATCCTCTAAAAGACATGTTAAAATAAAACAAGCATTTAACTAGAAAAATAGTATTTAATTCAAATCTCAATCTAACGGCAAGAGTTTCACAACATTCAGTTTCAAATTACCTAAGGTACGTTAAAAAAATGAAAAACAAACAAAAAAGTGTTAAATATATTTATTTAAAAAAAAAAATACAAAACCAAAAAAAAATCGCTCATCCACGCTTGCCATACCAACGTAAGTGTTAAGTTTAAACGCAAAGTTTATATATAATTTTAAATGTGCGTAAATAGACGGTGATGAAAAATAAAGCTTACAGTAAATCGTATTTATTAAAAATATATTGCAAATATTCAACGGAAAAATTTCGAAAAATATCTCTATGTATAAAAATTTATATTGCATCCACGAAAAGATTCCAAAGTAATTTCTTTCAAAATCCATTTCGCGAACACATAACATTAGTTTTATTTTAAACAATTTAATCTTATGCAAAATCATTTTTCGAGTCTTAACTAATTTTAATACTGAAAAAATAAATTTCACATAAATCTCAAATAGGCTTTTAATAAAAATATCTATACGTTCGTTCACACATTCGATATGTTTAAGTTAGCTCTAAAATTTATTAAACAAATACTTAAATATACGCAAGATGGCGTCAACATTTGTCGTCTCTCTCCCACTTTAATAAATTCTACAAAATTCAATTGCAGTCTAATTTTTTTTAAATGGCGCCCTACATCTTAAAATAACATATATATATATTGTTACTATAAAGTGTTTCTTTTCATCACAACCTAATATTGTTCTCTACAATAAAAAATGGCGCATAAGTTTCTATACTAAATTTAAAAAAAAAAATCTTAAAACCCTTTATAAAATTAAATTAAACACAAAGGCTCAGAAAAATAGTTTTGAAATGGCCAAGAAAATTAATCTGACTAAGACAGAATCAAAGACAAAACTGTAGACATTCCATAGACAATTAGACAAAGAGACAGAGAGAGAAGAATTAAATGAAGAGTAAAAACAAGAGCCAAGGCATTAAAATAATTTAACAAGTCATTGACACATTCCATTCCACCAACTCGTTCAACGAATGGTCAAGTGAAAAGGACAAAGATATGAATACTAACAGGAGGGAGAGAGACAGACATACATTTGTCAACCTCTGCGTATATTTAAATCAATAATTGCCAACACTACAAAACTATACTCTATTTTAATCCATATTCGGAGTTGGCACAAATATACAACGAGAAAGGCCACCGGAGTCCAAACTACTTTTTTTTTACAAAAAGAAAAATAAATAAATCTTATATACTAATCAAATCCACAACAATTTCTAAATACGATTTGGACTCCAATGCTCAAAAGCACCTTAAAAGTTTTTTTTAATATTCAAGACTTTACTACAAAACCACTAAAATATAGTGAACAATATGGAAGAATGCATAGAATATATAAAATATCTATTAAAAACATGAAACAAAGTTATATTATGCATCTCTAATAACATCTAATAGACTAGAGAAAAAAACTTTTAATATACAACTCTGTTAGTTTTCAAATATCCAATTACAATCACAGTACCGGGCCAAAGCGTATTAAAACGAGCAAACTAAAAACAAATAGCCTCAACGGTTAAAAAGCGTCCATATTCCCATCGCCCCAAAGTCTAAAATTAGTCAACAATATAGAAAGACAAAGTTTTCCTATATATAAAATCGAATAAAATTTCAACACCGCTATATATCTTAATAAAAAAAAATGCAAAATCATAGAGATTCAATACAAGATGGCGTTTTCACCAATCGGCTGAGTTCAGTGTTACCAGTTAACAAATAATTTTAAAGAATTACCCAAAATTTCAATCGAAAAAAAAATGGAGTTAATAATTTTTTTTTGGGTCAGTTCAACTTAAACAAATTTAATATTCCTTGTATTAATAATTTTAAATGGCAAAAAGTGAAAACACTGTGATACATGAAGAGGAGTCAGCTGGCAACACTGCACAGAAAGCGTAAGCTGTAACAAAAGGCCGTGTGCCCGGCAAAATGAACCCTAAAACTAATAGAAATAAGTGTCGGAATGCGACAGACACCGCGACAACAAGCGACATTCTTGACGTCACGCGGCCGAATCAATGAACCTGCAAATAAACCAAACCGTAAATATTGTTAGTTCTTTTATATAATAAACTAGCTGTCGCCCGCGACACCGTCCGTGCGGAATTAAAAAAAAGCTTAATAAGTAGCCTATGTGTTACCATACTATGTTCTACATCTATGCCAAATTTCAGCCAGATCCATACAGCCGATCTGGAGATACCTACAAACAAACATCCATCCATCCATCCATACATTCGAATTTATAATATTAGTAAGATGCAGGTAGGAAGGTAGTCTGGTCTGCACAAACAAAATTAAAACAGGCTTTTTATTCTATTATTCCACTAAGGGACTGGCTTTAGGATGATAAATTTACACTAAAGGGTTAAGTAAACATTGTAAGTACTCAATCTTATCTCGTTTTAAAGCATACAGTCTACCCAGCTATTTTAAAAAGTCGTGAACATGTCGTCACGCAAAATAAAAAAGTCTCCAAATAGATGTTTTAGTCAACGCGATGTCAACGACCCGGCGACGATAAACAGGTGCACGCCTACGCAACACACAACGATAAAAAATGTCGCTGACAAAAATACTTTCCTTCAAATTATTTTTTTTTCTTAGATCAAGTAGATATAATAGATTCTACGATCTTAAAATATTTGTATACCAATATTATTGTTAGAATACATGTAGAAATCTCACGATTCGTTGCTAACAAAAAAAAATGTATTAAATTTTTTTTATTTATCTATACTAATATTATAAAGATTTGTTTGTTTGTTTGCATTAAGTAGACTCCAAAACCACTGAATCGATTTGAAAAATTTTTTCACTGTTACAAGCTACAACACTATCTCCTGGTGGCATTATTACTAGATTTTTTAATTCCGCGCGAATAAAGTCGCGGGCAATTAATAAATTATTTAAAGTGAAAAGATTTGATTGACCCATCGTATATTGCAGCTATCTGAACCGGTGGGCATAAGTCAAACTAAATTAGGTCAGCACACTAGCGCCCCCTTAATGTCACAAAATTTTTGTACTGTAGCTGTCATGTCTTTTTTTAAGTAATTTTCTGTCCAAATAGGTTTTATATATATATATATTCTGTCTGAACCAACGACGACACTAGTACAGTCGCACTGGTTCAGACATCATCATTCTTTGTCTACATATATTTCATGACAGAACTAATCGCGACAGTAGCGCCCCTCACAAGAATCCAGATATTCAGACTATATGTTTGTCTCCGTCACCTCTTGTGGCGGCTGCTGGCGCGGTGGCGCGGGCTCGACGTGCAGCAGAC